GAGGGTGGTTGGGGCGACTTTCCCTGGTCAATCCCGGTCAATACAAACAACTTCCAACAGACACTGGACCTGGCACTGCAACACACGGACGTGGTGCAAGTGGCCACCTGGAACGATTACGGCGAGGGCACCCAGATTGAGCCCACGTTGGAATTTCAGTACCAATTTTTGACCATATTGCAAAAGAAAATGGGCGTCCAATACACCGAGGCCGATTTGAAAAAGGTGACCGATAACTATTTCCACCGGGTGGCCAACTTGAATAACGCCACCGTGTTGGCCGCGCTCGAGAAGGAGCACTTTGATCTCGTTACTAAATATGATAATTAAGTGTACATTGTACATTTTAAGCCATGTATGTTAAATAAAAATACGCATTATTTGATCACTTGTTAATAATTTGTTTTTACATTTATTATTTTTTTGTCAAAAACGAGATTAATCTAGATAAAATATTATCTTATCTTATATTTACTGTACATTGAGCTTACAAAGAACTTTAGCTTAATTTAGTTAATTAGTTATGTAACTTTACTATAAAAATTGCGGATTTTTATTCAATGCTACAATTTTAAGTATGTTTACTTAAAATTTTTATAAGTAAACAATGTAACATTTTACAAGTTTTTAAATTTATTAATACCTTTAAAAATTTGTTTAAATTTAATTAAATAAATATTAAAAATATAATTTTCAATTGATGTTTATATATTTTCTTTATACAATAATACAATAAAATTTAATTATGAATAAGTAAATAATACAAAATTTATTTAAAATTAAACTTTCAAGGTTAAAAATTATATTAAATAGGCAAATAAGTTTATACTAAACTGTTCACTAAATTGTCTTAAGTTAAAGATACAAAACTAGATAAATTTAAATGAATTATAATTTATAAAGTAAATTTAAATGTATAACAATTTTTATAATAGATTTTGTATTGAATTGAATGAAAGCAATCAATACCAATATTTATATCCCTATTTAAATACAACATGTTATTTAATAATCACTATATATATTGAGAAAGTAATTGTTATATATATTTTTTTGAAAATTAAAATAATTATAAATATTAATGATTAATTTATTTATAGATAATTAAAACATATAATAATACAACTTTATACTGCGATACAAATATGTATCTATTAAATATTATTAAACAAAAATATATTGAAAGGTCTGTCATATTGTATTTACTATTTACCATTTACTAATATTTATTAAATTTTATTGTAATTATTTAAAAAATAATTATTGAAATCTTTTGCAACAGGGTAGTATTCAATATTTTAAACAGCAATAATGGGGGTACTATATTAGCAAACGGAACAATTACTGGTTCCCTAGCTCTATTCTATAAAAATGTTTGTTGTAAAATAATATTTATATTTTATTGTGATATAAATAATAATTTTGTTAGGAGACTGACCTAGTGTTGGCTCATTATACTTATAATGCAGGAAGATATCAAGTACTTGATTTTGCACATATGATACCCGACTCGTCGCCCATCACTATTATAAGTACCGCTAAATACTATGAAAACAATAATATATTTGAAATATTAAATGTATTTCAACTAAACGTTTGGATTATTATTATATTATTGTTTATAATAATTTGTGTAATAAATGGTCCGAAATTTAGTTTTGATTATTTTAGCTTATTTTTAGGCCAAGGTTTGATTTAAATATATTAATTATATTTTATAATAATTTATATTAACAAGGTAATATTGTATTACAGGTATAAGCATAAAACGATTTCATAAAAAATTATTAATAATCGTATGGATTATCGGATCAATGATTTTCATAGACTATTTTGAAAGCGATTTACAGGCGCTTCAAGTGTCAAAAAGTGCCCACAAAATAGAGTCAATACAACAATTATATGAAAGACAAAACATTGGTATTATTGTTGTCAAGCATTCAGCCCAAGCAATAGTTTTTAACAAGGTAGTTATAATATTAGATATCTAAATACTAGGTAGATATTAGAATATATTTAAATAAAGTTAATGTTTTAAAAATGAATTATGCACCTTGAATGTTTATTAATTACAGATTTACAAGGACCTAAATAATCGAGTTCATCGTATAGATAACAAGGATATGTACAAATTGAGTACCATAATAAAAATTGTTGATGGACATATGGTTTTAATACACTTTACTTATAAATATCACCAACTTTCAAAATATTATGGTAAATATAATTTGATTAGAGCCATAGATCCTAACCATCAAAATATGGCACTAAAAAGTTATCCCATCCGAAAATCATTAAGCTACAAACTAAAATTAAAATATTCGCAAATGTAATGTATATACAATTTTAATTGTACTTGTGTATATATATTATAAATTTTTTTAAATATAATTTTAATTAATATCTAGATTAAATTGTTTATACGAATCGGGTATAGAGGGCCATAAATCATCTTACCAAGTTTTATTTTATACATTATTGGATTTATTGATTGATAAACAAGTTGTGAATAAACATGAATATAATAGTGGTTTAGAGACCAATCGTTTTGCATTAACGACAAAACATTTATACATTTGTTTTGTTGTTTTACTATTCGGTTATTGTATATCAATTTTATGTTTTATTTACGAACCTATTGTAAATATGGTAAGAATTTAATTAGTAAATTATATTATTATTTATTATTTATAAGTTATGATATTTTTTAACAGTAATGTAAAGAGAATATAATTTATACAAAGAGAATAAATTAATAATCCACCATTGTAAATTTATTTTAAAGTAATTGTTGCTTTAATATTACAGTTATTGTTATGTTTAATTAATATTTATCACATATTTACCTTTGGTTTGTGTATATCATTGAATAATATTGCAATATATTGTACAAATATTTTATAAAATTAAAATTTATTTTATTTATCATTTAAAATTGTCGTTTTTATAGATTGAACAAATATAACTATTCTTAATCATAATTACTTATGTTACAACACTAACTTAACATCTATTACAGGTTATAAATCAAGGTGAAAAACGGCTCAAATTATATTCTAGATATTTTATAAACATAAGTTAATTAGAAAATTTTATAGTGTATTTACAATTAATTTATGTAGCATTAGCAAATATTATTTTTAGATGATCATATTGATTAATTAGCAAACAATTGGAGTTTCATTCATTTGAAGTTTAAACACAATTGATTATTATCTAACTTTGAAGTCACGATATTTTCTTTAACGCATTAATAAATTAATATATGAGCAAGGTGGATTAAAATGTCATATTTTAATACTGATATTTATTAATTATAGAATCTACATAATCAAAATAAAATATTTAATAAATTTATAAAATTATGCTTTAATTCATAATTGTATAATTATATGTCTTCTTGTTAAAAACAATAAAGGTTAATATATTTAAAAATTATTATTTTAAATACCCATGGTGATTAATATATTAAAATATGAAATAATTATATAACAATCAATAGGCAAATACCACATCATATGATATTGTTTACGTATATTTATAATATAAAAATATCTAGTTTATATAATTATTAGGGCATTCTATGTTTGTCAAAAGTCAATAGAGATTTATCATTATTTGGATGTATCTTAATAATTAATATTTGTTTACCAATGTACAAATGTAATATTTTTAATTTATAAATGTAAATAGATTTAACGTAAAATATATCAAACAAATACTCACAACATCTAATACTTTAAAACATTTAACCATGGCTATTAATAATGATAAATTTCTAAGGATTATTTACATTAATCAAATGTTTGGCAATACTTTTGGCGGTTGGAATTATAATAATCACCATGTACATGCATCCGACAAAAC